AAATGTAGTTGTTGAAATATTTTCATCTTTTTAAATCGAGTTTTTGGAACGATTTAAATATGAAATAAATATCTTATTTCTTGATGGCTTTCTAATGAAATTGATTAATAAATAAATTGATAAAAAAAAAATTTTTTTTTAACTTCTACCTTTGTTGATTTTCCACAAAATCACATCAAAACATTGTATTTATTTTTTCTTTCATTTATTATACACTTTCTTTTTGTAATTTGTTTGAAGTTTTAAAAATTTTGTTTTTAAATGGTCGCACTACGCTCTGTTATTCTAATACCAACCCACTGTGACAGGCTGAAAAGTAGATCACAAACCATGTCATGTGTTTGTAGTCTCCACACCTATTTTTAAACGACGAAATACCAAAAAAGCATAAAAACAAAAACGGCTGTTCAAGTTTTTGGCAGAATATATGGTTTGCGATCTTTCAATGATAGTGCGCACACTAAAGCCGACAATCTCGGTTGGGTATAAAGCTTCAAAGCTTTTTTCCAGATGGTTTATGAGAGCCTAAAATGATGTCATATCTGTTTGAAATTAGAATTTCAGTAGACGTATAACGTAACATTTAACTGCAAGCGCAAGAAATCCTACAAAATATTTACATATTTGATTAGAATGAAATTCCGAGACCCCCTCTTAACAAATCCCAGCAGAGTTCTATATATGTAACATATATAACTTTTAGGGCAACTAACATTAGCTTTACATTATGTACGTCTACTCACATTTCCTGATCAATGATAAAGATAAAAAATCACATCTTTTTTGTTCAACTTTCAACGTATACAACACGCAGATACTTGAAAATAACAAATATAATTAAATGTATAAATAAAGAAAAATCAAATATAATAAAAGCATTTCACGTTTAATACACAATTTTCAATTGTTCGCAATTTGATTAAATAAACTCGAAACCTTCATATTTGTATTCACCAACGACTTGTTGTTCAGCTAACAGAATCTTACCGTTAATATCAAAAGCTGTAATGAATGTCATAGTTTTGCCATTTAACTCATGAGAACGTAACGCAACTATGATACGATCATCGGTAGAAGGTATAAATTTGAAACTGGACACACCATGAGTTGGTTGCGTATTGCTGGCGTCCAATGGAACGGTTTCAATTCTGTTAAAATTATCATCGGCTGTTATAAGTAAATTACAGCCCATATATTCGTCACGTGTTTCGTTGTATCTAAAAAGCGCGCATAAATATGAAAGGTTTTAATTCAAAACTATAATCTGTTATTATATTTTAAAATACCGCTCTTTTGAACATCGCCTTGGGAGGAAAAACCATTTTTTGTGCACTGATGACCATACACCACTTTCGTGTATCATATAACCTGGCCAAATAATGTCAGCTGCTACTTGACGTAACCGTTTATAATTATGAGACCAGTCTACTGATAAAACCGTACCGGCTGGCGTAACGGTCTTAACATACATTGGATTGTCGTTTTCATATTCACCACCGCCAGTAGTCCATTCTTTTCCCATTGAACCCACAAACAAAACTCGATCTTTGACGGTAGCCCATTCCGATTTGAAACCTTTTGTATTGTGACCATTGCCATCCAGCAATATAATCCAAGGTGTAGCTTTGTCATTACTCAGTTCGTATATTAAACCAGTACGATCGTCAAATGTTAGCAGTCTACCATTAAATGTCACCAATTCAGATAGTTCCATTCCGCGTTCTTTTAATGAAAAACAAGATTCCAATACTTTGGGATCACCAGAATCCCATGTAATTTTGATATCATCTTTGCCGCTACTATAAGTTAAATAGCCTTTTTTGAGATAGCTACGCCAAACAGCGTTAGTACTGGCGCCTGCCACCTTAGCATTCGTATCCAAATCAGCTACCATAGCAATACGAAAGTTAAACACTCCCGGCCGGACATTTATTGGTGGCGTCAAAGGGTATGTGCTATTATAGGAACTGAATTCCTCTACAACAATAGTGTTACCAGTGTCAACGCCCCCACTACTCCGATGGTTGCTAGTCGAGCTGGCATAATTTTTTAACCAAGCCGCATCCGACGAAGATGATGAACTAAGACGCATATAATAAAACAATATGAATAAAGTAAAAACGCCGACCAGTATCAATGCAATGTGATAATTGAAACGTACGGTGCGGTTGCCAATACGATATGTGGGTGGAGTGCGCAATGCCGAACGCCAATCACGACTACTATACATTACGTTGCGCGATTGTAAAGTCTTCATTGTATGTCCACTTCTATGATGTTAAAGCTCTTGTTATGAGTACTGTTGATGAATTTTGGCGCTGGAAGTGAAGGCAAGTGCTGGCGTGGCACTATTTCTATTACTAGATAGCAGATCTTCGTCAATTGCATCGCATTTTCGAAGAGGGGAAGTATATACTAAATATAGTGCTGTTGTATAAAGTGCTTTGTTGCTTTAGAAAATAATACTTTCTGCATTTAATTAAATAAATTCTGTTCACTAATTTTGTATAGTTGATCTATTTTGATATCATCTTAACTGTTTTTTTTATTGAGATCTGCTAATTACGACAAAATATTAACACGATTATAAAACTTCGTGTTTGATAAATGAAGCTTTGTCACAATAATCAGCTGTTTGGTAAAAAAATATAAAAGAAAATCCATTGATGACGGAAAAAAGAAAAAATCAGTTGCATAATAGTATTTACATATATGACAAGTTGATATAATTCGCGATGTTCAAAATTAGTTTGAATACTTTTTATTACGCATTTATTTACGATATTATTTACTATAGCACATAAAAAAGGAGGAATGAAAAAATAAATAAGTCCTGCACATCTTTCGTGCTTGATTTTTTGCAAATATTCTCCCATGGATGATAAGAAAATTGAACCGATCTATTGCGATTTGTTGCTGCTAAAAATTGAGAAAAATAAAGAGATTTAAAGAAATTATTTGCATTGAGATAAACTATAACTAGTATTTCTGCCCAATTTGTTGACGAAAAAAATGGATACATTCCCATTTTGGAAAACGTTATTCTAAATGATAAGAAAATTGAACCGATCTATTGCGATTTGTTGCTGCTAAAAATTAAGAAAAATAAAGAGATTTAAAGAAATTATTTGCATTGGGATAAACTATAAGTAGTATTTCTGCCCAATTTGTTGACGAAAAAAATGGATATATTCCCATTTTGGAAAACGTTATTCTAAATGAAAGCTGCCGTGATTAGGACCGTCTATTGTGTTGCTGTATGAGTTTGAATAAAAGCTAAGAAAAATAGCATCGCCAGCATCCGTTTAACGAACAGCTCATTGCACTGCACCTTCAACACTACACATTCTAAGTTTTACCATTTGGCTGTTCATAAATTATATAAATTTTTTGGATTTGTAAATTTACACAATCTGCGGTTTGTGATTTGGACACAAGCTCGTATCATCTCGTTCGAAAACGGATATCTAAAAACCTCTAGAGCCAGAGCTTACGCCCCTAATAGAAAAAATGGGGAAAAAATTAAAGTAAACCGCTATACTTTATTTATATATATGTATATTATTTTTCCGCTTTATTAATTGTATTTTGCTTCAAAAAAATCAATTTTTAATGAAACTTCGCTTTATTATTATTGCACTTCATAAACTGTTATCTAAACATATGCTAGCCATATAAAATAAAAATAAGAACGCACGCAATTAATACGCCAACTTGCTGTGCCGCACACAGAACGCGTAACGCAATAATTGTGTTCGCAGTTTAGTCGCCAACAACACTTGTTTAACATCAAAACAAAGCAATATTTGAACTTACATTCTATTGTTTTTTTTTTTCAAATGCCATAAATTATTAATAAATCATAAAAGAAATTTTTTGTGCCTAACTATGCTACTTCAAAGAGAAAAATTCTATTTGTTAAAGATTAAAACATAATTTTATGACTCAACAGCTTTGGGCCTTATCAATAAACATCTGTTTGTTTCAATTCCATTATATCATTGAAATCAAATTGAATGTAAAAAAAAATCGACCGCAGAATATAAAAGGCAATTGGCAGGTCGGCGTATTTAAAACGAAAATGTCTGCGCTCTTTGTGAATATATTACGGCAGGCTTTGAAAACGTTCGATCGTACAAATCAAGCAACATTCGTTAGTAATTTCAATTTGTTGAAGCAATTGACAGATCAATTGACGTATCGTGATATACATCTAAATCGCGAGGAGCTACTTAATGATGAGAAATATGAAAAACCGGAAAATGCTCCGTGCACATTCATGCACATTTTTGAGAATGATACCGTCTCTATGAGTGTATTCGTTATGCGAGGCAATTATACAATGCCATTGCACGATCATCCTTGCATGCATGGAATACTTAAGGTACTACATGGCCACTTGGAGATACAATCCTACACGCAGAGACTGAAAGATAATGAAACAGTTCTTTATCAACCGGATGCAAAAGAAGTACAAGTCCAAAAAGAAGAGGCCCGTTTAGTTGATACACAAATGGAATGCGTGGTGTTAACGCCTCGAAAACGTAACTATCACGAAATAACGGCTGTAAATGGGGTAGCAGCGTTCTTTGATATTTTAGCTCCACCATACGATGCCGATATACCTGATTATGGTCCAAGAAAATGTAATTTTTACCAAACATGCGATATAACGAAAAAAAGATGTACAACAACGCCCGGTGAAACAAAAGACGATGAAGTTGTTTATCTGGAGCGCATATCCACGCCAGTAACATACTATTGTGATACCAAGGAGGCCGATGAAGCGGTGTTCGTGTGTTGCCAAGAAGCTTACAGTTCAAGTAGTTTAGAAGACAATGGCAAGAAAGAGGAAGAAAACCAAAAACTATAAATTGAATAAAATCGATTCTTAATTGTGTATATATTTCAACCAATGCAATGTAATGCAATACAGAAAAGCCGACGTGAATTCTGAAAAATGTATGTCATTGTTTGATTTGTGTTTATGTATGTATGTATGTATGTATGTATGTGTATATACTGATTGATTGAATTGATAGCTGACCAGTAATTAAGAATTAAATTATTAAACCAATAGTAAAAGTTTTTATCAATTTAAAGAATTTCACAGACTTAATGTATCCCCGCATATACACGAATAAAAATAGGAATAATAAAAATTTCATTTATTGTAAACAAGTTAGTAATAAATAGTGAGGAAAATGCCTTTTACTTTATTATCATCGGAAACAGCAAACATTTGCTCGCCTGCCTGTTTTTTAACATGATTAAGCATACTTTCGATTCATCATCCAACTGTTGAAATAAATGAACACAAGTGGTTTCGCCTTGAAAATGTCTGAACTTTTTAATCACCATTAATTAGTTTTTAGTTAAAATCACATAAACAACTATTCGTCCGTATTTGTTTAAAAATATACATTCGTGATAAACACTATTTATTAGCTAAAAGTTTTAAACGTTTTTTTTCCTTTTGTTTTATGCCAAAGTACAAAATCTTAAATACCAAAGAAAAACACAAATTATTTACCTTACGTGTTCACAGCACAATTTTCATCTTCATCTGTTTTGCTTTGGTAAATATCCTGGTTACGTCTTCTAAATTTTTTTAATGGGGGTTTTGGGGAATTGATATGCAATATTGGTAATTCCTGTGGAGTAATCCCGCAATCATGAGTATCAGCTTCCTGCTCAACCTTGTCGTCACTGTCACTTGATAATTCATCGGCTTTTGTGATAGCGTTGCTCTCTATTGCTTTGGGTTTAGGTAAATTTAAACCTATTGACGAACTACCCACACTTCTACGTTTTAAAGGGCTTACCATTGAGGCATTAGACGTATTCAAACTTGATAGCTCGTCAGCTATTGAACTGGAATCGTTAAGATTTGTCTCGAACGTTCCATCTAAAGTGCTTGAATGGCTCAATTCGTGGCCTCCAATCAGCATAGCCAAGGTTAAGGGATCATCAATACCTAGAGTATCACAGAATTGCAGCGATTGCGGATTAATTTGAGATTTCGGCTGCACATGTTGACTGGTTTTAAAATTTCTTTTAGGATCATAAGGTTCGACGGTACGGCAAAAGTTTTCGGGTATTTTTAAGACATTTTCAAATTTCTTAAGCACTTCTGACATTTCTTCATCGGTGGGTGTAAAATTATAACGTTCTCCTGTATTACCTTTTTCATTGGGCAAATAATAATAGCTATCGCGTGTATTCGTTAAATGATTTGTTAGATATAATATCGTTAACCACTCAAGATCATATTCAAAATGTAATTGGACCTCATCATCAGTATGATTTGCAGATTCAATATCTATTATTTGTAAAAATCGTCGACGTGGCAAACATTTATCCAAGGCTAAAAACTTCGTGCAACGTCCTTCAGCTTGTTCTGACTTCTCCTTTTCGCCGGCCGACATATTTAACTTTTTCATATGTGTTACAAGCGCGGCAAATTTGCAATGCATATGGGCTGCAAACCAATATGATGGTTGCAATATATTTAATAAATTTTCGTACGGTGGACTTCCCAATTTTCCATTTTCCATATCCTCCCGTAAGTAGGGTTTAAAACGAGCCAAACTCTCTTGATTACCATGTTTGTAAATGCCGCGTGGCCAATCATGAGATATAATTATATCCACATTACCCGATAATTGTTTTAAACGAAACACCTCAAGTTGACGAACGTGATACACCGACCGTTTAGTACTTTCCGTATATGGTGAGAACTCGAAGCGTCCTTTCAAATAATCGTGACTCTTGTAAATACCCGATATGCCGGCTAGACGTATTCCATTTACTTGTACTACACCGGCATAACCCAAATAGTAAATATTAGGGGCTACCCAACCACCATATGGTAATTCTTGCAAATAATTCGATGCCTCATGATTGCCGCCAATAAATATGGTCAGCATTGGTGCTTGCAGCTCGCCACTGTAATACCTAAAATGCAAATTCAAATAACGCTCGGAAAATCTTATATACGATATTATTTGTATTTACTTGTAAAATGTACAAATATCTTGATATTTTTTTGCCACCGCCATTGTTTGTAAATCATCCAAATTGCGTGTAGATTGAAAATCCCCACAGCAAAGTAATAGATCAACTTTGATATTTTCTTTCTGCTCAATTTCTTTTATGGTTTCATAGATTTTCTCTAGTTCGCCATGGGCACAACCCTCAATAGCGATTTTCATATTTAAATAGTTTTTTGATTTTTTAAATTCTTCAAATATATTATTGCATTAAGCAAAATTTTCCAGCACAATTATTATTCTCTTCTTCTTCTTCATCTCTTTCCAAACAACGCTACGTAAGAGAAATACACAAAACAGAGTGTTTACAAACATATTATTTATTTCAATTTTTCATGCTCATACATTAGGCATATGTTTAAAGAATATTTTAAATATTTAAAGAACAATTTAAATCCACTTAGTTATATTGTCTTGTAAGTGTAAGCAACGTGATATCTATTGATACTAGCTTTTGAGCGTATAAAGTTCTGTTGCTTTCACTATAATCCATTACGAAAACTTCGCAGAATTGCAAAACCTCCTCGCATTTAACAAATTTTGTACGAGTCTTATTTTTTGAGAGCCATAGGTATTTAAATTTTATTTCCAATCATCGCTTTTAAATTTCACACGACTGCTGCTCCTGCATTAACTCAAAGAAAAAAGAGGAAGCAATTTTTAGGTGAAATTTTGTATTTCCAAAATTACTACATATCGCCAAGTTTCCATTTAAAAGAATTAAACCTTTCGGTCCTAAGAAAAGCCTTTTATAGGCTTTTATTCTTTATATCTGACACATCACAATAAAAAAGGCTATCATTCCTGTCTTAATAAGGTCTTATCTTCGACTGTGTAGCATGTGTTAGAATCCACGTTTTGTAGTCACGCTTCTTCATAGACATTTGTTTATGACGTGGATGAGTTGGGCATATGTTGTATAATCTCTGTTGCCGCATTACGAAATAACAATCCTTGCATCGCCGTTTTACGCGACCCTTCACCTTAAACCCAGCTAGATGATTTAATAATGTTGTAACAGGCATTAAAAGACGTTGCATATTCCCCAAAACTGGTATTTGCAGGTTGGTGGACTGTGCAGTGGTGGGTATAGATGAAAAATATGATGTCGATCTGGGCTGCAAAAGACTAGCCATGCCATGAAATTTCCTATTAGCTATGGGTACATTTTCGATCAACCGCTTGACGGTGCCTTTTATTAAGTTCGTGCAAATTCTCGGTGCTAAAGACATCTATGGTTTAAGTATAAATATATGAATTTAATAAAGCACAATACTCAATTCAATTTACTTTATTTCCTTTAATATGCTGGATTACGGTGTTATTAATTATAAATAGGCTTTGATACCAGCTGTCTTATTCTGCGTTGTATTTTCCCGTAATGGAACAAAATGTTTTGAATAACATTATATTAAATAAAACTTCGCAAAGAATTTGTTTTGGTTTTATTTCTACACCAACCGCTGAAAAGGTAAAAAATGTTCTTTTGCCGTTCTCGATAAAGCAGCCTACGTAGAAAATATTCGAAAAGATGTACTTTTTTAAAACCTTGTAGTAATATGGCGGCACCCGCACTCATGAAATTTATACTGACTACGTAGAATTACAATGCAGATTAATAAGAGAGACAGAGAAGATAGACATATATATTGCGTGCATTTAAATGAGTGTGCTTACGCACACCTTGTAACCTATTTTCTTAGTAGATTATGTATGTGTATTTTTTGTAGTAATGCGATCTTGTTACTTAATTTAGTCCATTATCGTACAGTCGAAGTCCTTTTAATTTTTTTTTTATTTATTGCAAAAATTCGTGCATTTGTATTCTATTCCATTGTGTATAAAGCATATTAAAATTTGTGCCCTCTTATGCTCTTGTTCGTTTTTACCATTTATTCTTTGACACACCGGTCTCAAATTTGGACAAAAAGTTTAATAAAAATTTTTATCTGAATAATGAAAGTAAGTTTATTCTTAGTTGCAAACATTGTTTATGCCACGATAGTACAGAAAAAAATTCACCGGTAAACATTTATTTTCTCATGTCCTGTCCAGTTATATGTACACATGATCTAATCATTAAAATATTACAAAAAAAATCATGTTATTTTTGAGAAAGATAATTTTTAGCACTGAGAGAAGAAATGCCGATGAAAATAGTTACGTTATCAAGTAGTAGTTGTTACATACATACCGAAATATGGCCCAAATTTGAAAATAGGAAAAACCTTGGGTAGTTTTTTTATCAAATTTTAATTAAGAAAGGAATTTTAATTATGAAAATAATGAAAAGTATATTTTTCAGTACTTTTGGAATTTTAATATTCACTGATATTGTCAGGAAAAATAATTCTTGCAAATGAATGGAACCTTTTCTATGTTCATGCAAACTCTTTGAGAAGTAAAACGATATATCATTTGTAAATGCAAAAAGTAATGATGAATAAAAAAGTGTGGTATTTAGTAATAGTAGAGCGATTCATATAAATAACTATTTAGGCGCGAACACTTCAATGATTACATGATGCTGATTCATTACTTTTTCAATTCTTTATTTCTGTTTGTGTCAGAAATGTTACAAACGATATTTTATGAAAAAAAAAAAAAAAACTTTTCACTTACTGTCTACATACGTTTTTATGGGATGAAAATGAATAAACAAACGATTAATTCAATCGATATTAATAATATTTTCGCTACCGTGATTTGATTGTGGCTCAGCGACTCGAATGCGTTTAATTTTGGTTGGGCCGAGTTCCTCGTCTGAGTCGAGTATTTCGGTGACGTCATCGTCAATAATATCTACGACTGTAGTTTTACGTTTGACCGTTGGCATGGGTTCATCTTGGTTAGATAATGTTATACGCAGCATATTTGTGTTTTTAGTTACCATTTCCGTTTCTGAAGTTTGTACACAAACATCCTTAGTCTGACCTTTAACGCATTCATCTTCTTCCTCGACTATGCATAAATCATCATCATCGCTAAATTCGATGGTTTGATTTAAACGAGTTTTTTTTGATGTAGAAGGGCCGTCTGCCATATTTTCTTTTTTATTCGATACAGTTTCCTCTTTTGGCTTAAGTTGATCTTTATTAGCTACAACTTCAAATAGGGGACATTCACGTTCGGCGTCAGTATGTATAATGATTATATTAAGTTCATAGTTCTGGAAAAAATCATCACATTTCAAAATGACGCCGTCAACGATGTCCAATTCATTCAGAAATTTCTCCTCATTGCATTCGGTTTCTGCTTCTTCCGACGAGATGACAACTACACCTTTGCTGTCGATAAGTACGTCAGGATTAATCATATTGATTGTTTTTTTGAGAACCTCATCGCGCAATTCTTTAATACGCATGCGTTTAGTGTCGACGCGTAAATGAATAGCTGGCTCAGCGGCACAAACATAGCAATTAGGATTTGGAGTCGAAAGAACCTTCTCAGGTACGAGCAATTGCTGCCGGGGATTTTGACGCAAACGCATATACACCGATTTACATTTATTAAAATCCTTTAGTAAAATTTTAATTGTTTGAAGGACTACAATACCAGCTGTAATCGCATTCGTGGTAGCTATAGCAGGAATTATGTTTCCAGCCATTGATTTCACTTCAAACCGTGATTTACGCGCAATTTCAAAAATATAAGCACGCACACTTGCACAAGCAGCGACAAAATCCATGGCTGGTTGGTCGTCTTTATCCCAAACCAGAAAGTCACCCTCCACTAAGTTTTCCACATTGGTACGCAACTTCTTGAGACAATCCTCGAAAACTGCGGCACACTCTGCCAATGACCATATTTTATGATACTGACGCATGAATTGATGCTCGCAATTCGCCTTATCTTGTCTTAATAACGCATTATTCCATTGAATGGGTCTTGGCGGTTTACGGGTCTTCCAAAGATTCGACATAGATAACAAATACTTGATGTCGTCGTTAAAAAATTTGTTAAATAAGGTTTCGGGATCATAATTATTATCTTTGGCCCACTGCCTTGTATTAACTCGCACTACATTACCCGCTTGGGATACATCATCACCACTTGCCTGCGCGCCTCCACCATCATTATGCGAATTGGGTGATTCACCCTGAGCTTCGGGATCAGCTACATCAGGTGAAATATCTTCATCGTCATCAGTTTCGCCAAAAAGTTGACTAAAATGTAAATTATTAATGAATTAATAAATGATTTAAAAAAAGGTCACTTTTTTATTTTCTTACTTAAAAAGATGTTTAGCCCATACTATGCAATGAATTAGTTCAGATGGGGTATTGCGTATAGTGCAGCCAGGAAAACTTTTTTGAGTTGCTTTCGGTGTACACTCGTAACATTGTGTTAAGCCTTTTTTAATCATTTCTACTTGGCCATTATAACCGGCTGTACCACTCTCAATCAAGGGCACATGTGCATTTAAACACATACGATTGACGTGATTACGAGCTGCCCTATTATCTAAAGCATTAAGCACTACATCAAAATTTTGAAAGAAATTCACGCCGTAATCCGTCCTAAAATATAAATATATTTCAAACATTATTGACTTAATTTTTTTTTTTAATTTCATACTATCGTACCCTATAATGCTGTCATGATAGGCTTTGATTTTCACATCCGGATTAAATTGTAAGGCACTTTCACGTGCTACTTGAGCTTTTGATTTGCCGACGTGCTCACGATGAAATAAAAATTGACGATTCAAATTACTTAAATCGATTGTATCCAAATCAATCTACATGTATATGAAAGAGTATGATGACAAATCTAAATGGTTTTGAATAGCTACTCACAATCTCAATATATGGAAATCCGGAAAGAACCAAATTCTTTAATATTTCGCAACCTATACCACCTGCGCCCACTACCAATAATTTAGAACTTTTAATCTTTTCTTGCAAAGTTGTAGGAAAAACACCATTTATGGATGCAGCCATCTTAATGTTACTCTCTTGTTGATCTTATGGTTAAGTAATTCCTAAATGAAACTTATAAAAATCGGTGTGCGCAAATTATATGCAGACAAAAAATAAAAGACGCCACCGGTTCAGAGTTGCTACTACTTTTGAACTTATTTTTTCATAAATTTAAGACTAACAGTGTTGCCAACTTTTTTAGATTTAAAAATGCGCAAATCTTATTTAGATATAATAAGTTCTTGAAAGATTTCAGCGACGACGTTTGGATAAACATTAATAACATTGTTAACTTCTATGCTCTAATGTGATACAGTTCAATAACAGATTGTAGTCAATACTACAATTGTAGTCAATACTACAATCTGTTAAAATTTCCGTTCTTATTAAGCAAAACTGCGATAATTCGTCTTCTTTGATTATTGGGATTTGTTTAGAACCCAAGGTCCAAAGTTAGATAAGCTTGTTTTTGGAGCTCTTCAGAAATTCGGTAGGATGTTGTAAATTTGGAAAGTGACTATTAAAAAGTTGACCATTGCCATTTGTGTTTAGTTGTGATATACAGTTTAAACTGTATTTAAAAAAATTGACAGCCAGAATTCATATACTCATTTTATTCTCATATAGAGAAAGATTAGCCATCACCTAATGCAATTTCCGTTATAAGACTCTACAATTTTTAAACCATCTATTAAGAGTATATATTTACCCAATTTTTTTGTTGTTCCAACATGAGCAATTGTATAATTTTACCTTTCATCAATTTCCATATTTATATTGTAATTGAGTTACTTTATTAAAAACAGTAGTTTTAAGCATGAAAACGCCAAGTTGACATTATTTAAATATTATATGCTGGTGTGTTTATCGGTACAATTCTGTAAAAATAGTTCGTATGTCTGGCAGACTGCCGTGAAGATTGGAAAATAATTCAATTATAATCAAAAAGAAAAAAAAAAGAGAAAGAAAAATCAATTGCTTTTCAAATAAATTAACTTGAATCTATCGGAGAAAGATATTGGAAAATAAGCACGGAAAACCATATTTAATAAATTAATTGAAAAAATTTAGCTGTAAACAACCACCGATGCATAAAGTTTGAGGCGGCGCATAAGATGAGAAATTCTTAAAGCAAAACAGTTGTACACAAATTGGAGATAAAAGGAAAATCGTTCTCCTTTTAAGTATCTACAGAATTGAAAATAATATTGGAGTTTCCAAGAGCGACTTGCGAAAAGCATAAAATTTTTTTTTATTTTTATTAATATAATAACACTATGGCTGAAATTCGACGTCGAAAACAAGAAGCTGGAGGAGATGAAGATGCGGCATGTATGGGTCCATCTATATCACCTTCAATAACTGAAGCTGAAAAACGAAATTCATCAGCGGCTGATTCCTCAGATCATGTAAGTCCATTATTGAATCAGTTTTTTGTTGAAAAGAGTTTGCAGCACAATAATAATGGAATTTGTATAAATCCATATAATGGAATTTATAAAAAATGCAAAATATATATGTATGCTTAAATCACAGATATATATATATATATATATATATATATCTATGTATAAATTTCTGTTTCATTTGAATAATTTTAACCATGAGAAGAATGTTTGTAGCTTATTTTCAATTAATACTATTTAAGTGAAAAACAGCAAGCTTGTATGTATGCATACATTTACGTACATACATATATGTTCACTTGTTCCATAGTCCATCAGCGTGTCTATTATTGTAACTTGTATAAAGATATATAAACAAAGCGCGAGATATATTTGAATATCAAAGAAAGAAGGAAAACAAAGTGAGGAAAAAAGAAAATTCACAACGCATAACTAACAAATCCAATTAGCTTAGCAGTTGTTCAAAACCAATTGTTATATTACTGAACGAATAAAGATGTTCATATGTATGCATAGGTAAATATGGTAAGAAAATATATTTAATATATATGCTTGGCATAACGAAAACTTTCAACCCCCCTTCGGTTAGTTTATATAGCTAACATCTACTTTAACTAATAGTTACTTGGAATTTGAGAAAATTTTTTGATTATTGACTTTTCTTTCAATTGATTGTATGAAATATTCTTATCTTGATGATTTCTAAATTTTTTCATTTCCTTTCCTAAGGCGACTAAAATCTACTGCTTAACAACATTTTTTTTTACACTCACTTCTCCTAATTCGTACCACTTGAAAAATCTTTGTTATTCGCTAGCATTCTTTCGCTTTACTAAACATACAAACCAAGAAAGCTTGTATATACCACTTGAAAAGAATTTATTAATATCCGTGCCCAGGTTATGCGCGACCTTTGATTGGAAACCGAAATCAAATTTCTCTCACTCGATATATGGATCGTATGTCATATATGGTATATATTTGATAGCACATTTTAATATTTTAATATTTAAATAAATTTAAATATTTCTTCATTCTGTACACAATATGTGGTATTTCATTAATTATGAACGATTTGTTTGGCTTTCAAACAAAAACCAAGAATCGACTAAATTACAAAAGCATGAATGGACTTAACTGATTTTCATAGTTAAGCTGAAAAGAGTTATAAGGAAAAAATTGTAATCTTCTAGACGACAATTTTGGACTCGTTTTCGAACGGATGACCAAAAAGAGAAAAAGTTATGAAGAATAGTAAGCTTTGCTTACGAATTTTAACTACATAGCTTGTAATCTTTTGTAATTTCCACCGACATTTTTTTAATACACATGAACAATGTTAATCAATTTCTTGACTATTATTTTCTATATTTCCTATGTCTCTACGATAAGTGATGAAGGACGAATGCATCAATATTAACTGTAAAATTGAATGGAAATTGTCATTTCATGAGTGAGAAGCTTTCAGTAGCTTTGATGTTTAACTTAAGCATAAAGTATTGAAATCCTTCTAACACGATTTATATTTTTAATAACTGCAGACGTGACCGTCCGGTTTGCTCGTCCTTGTGGCGTTTAGCTAAAAGAAGAGAAAATCAAAAATTAATTTTTCAACTTTTTTACAAAGCAATCACATTCACACGAAACGATAGTAACAACTTAGTTTATCTATTCAATAAGATTGGGTAAAACTTTGTGGCGATAATGGTCGTGGACAGGTATTAGTCTGAAACTTGGTAGAAAGTTACTTTCAAGCTATTTAAAAATTCTCTGCCCAAAAATATAGAATCGAAATGTTTTCCATTAGACAAATGGCACGCCCACCATTAATAACAAACCATATAATATTTGATTTCATATATTGGCTGCAGCTTTAATAGATATGAATGCATTTTCTATTTTAAAAATACTTTCAAAATTTTATTCATAATAACTCTGATGGAATTCGATTTATATTATTCATATTATATAAATAAAATAACTGGTCACCTTACATATTATTTCTGCAATTCATTTTTTACGACCACGATTAATGATAAGAAGTTTATTGCTCTGCCGCCAACTCCTATGAAAACGTGTTTATAGTTTCGTCTATTCATGCAGAATTTTTTCTTTCGCTCCGTGTTTCTAAAGTAAAACGAAAACATTAAATATTTATTTATTTATTGAAAATATATGTCATATCGTTATTCCCGTATGAGGAAATCAAACTTTTATTTCTGTAATCTATTTATGGCTATTGATTTCGTTCTAATTGAAAGTCAAAAATAGGAAGTATTCAGTCGTGATCGAATCTTTTATACCCATCACCGTTCTCCTAAAAAAGACAAAGATAGTAAAAGAACTAAGTTTTCATACTCTTTAATAGATAGAATGGACCCGGCTGATTTTTGCTATTTTTAAAATAAAAGTTTTTGTCAAATAGGCGTGCGGGCGTTGTAGACGTGTCCTTCGAGAAGCTTAACTCACTTTTAAATTCCTTAGCCAATTTGTGGGCAATAATCTTGATTTTCGTTAACGCGACAATGTTTACCACAAATACTATACTATACAGTTGCGCACACAGGCAGATAAACAGACGGACATGTTTAGTCATTCCGACTTTGAAAATGGCCAAGAATTTATATCCTTTGAAGTTTTTGATGATGGTTTGTTTCTATGCCTTAAAAAGTTATTGAAAAAATAAATTAATTTCGATACATTATAATGTTGGGTAGGGGTAGACAATTTTTCCCAATTTTATGTAAGTCGCTCGTCCAGCATCGCTCATAGAATATATGTTCAAATATTTGCGGATTTGTCTGATTTAGTTTATGAGTAATGGGCAAAAAACCCAGAAATTTTTTATTTCTTTTGAAAAGAGATTTGTTCTCAGTTTACGTGGTGTTGTGGGCGTGTCCTTTAATCGATTTAGCCCATTTGAAATCCCCCACTTTCGTGCAACAGCTTCCAATATTCCTGCCAGGAGAAGGCTTACAAAAAACATTATACAGACATGCTTAGATCGGCTTAAAATTTGATAACTGATCAAGGATATATATATTTTGTGATGTCTCTGATGCTTCCTTGTGCATATAACGTTACAAACGTTTTGACAAAATGAATATAACCCCTCATCGTTCGGTAACGGGCATACAGATAGATATAGCATAGTGATAGGAACGAAGAGGAAAGAAAGTCGTTTTGTGTCAATTTTATGATTGTATTATAATTTTTCCCGCGCTCTAACAAAAACGATATCTGCAACTGAAGCAGTAAAAACTGGAATGGATGCTCAGCTAAGTTTAATTTAACCAAACCAAATGCGATAATTAATTTCTTTAATATTTAATCCAACTTTGATTAAAATTAATGAGTAAGATCATCGTTAATCTAAGCTTGATATTCTTGCATAAATGTATTCTCTCTCTCTCTCTCTCTCTCTCTGTATCGTTCACTTACCGTAGCTAATAAAATTTAATGTATGCTTGAACGTTTAGCTATTTCTACATTGATTGCAACTCAATTGGATTTGTTTGCTGACCCATTAAATAATAAAATAAGAAAATTATAGCTGACAAGTGGCGAAGCATGCATACTCTCGATATCTCATATGACCTATAACGGATAGGAAAACTTTATTCTTCTTGGAATAGGGTGATTTTGAATACGTAAGCAAACGGACCTTA